TCAAAGTCACCTTGCTATTTCCGCCTCACAGCTCCCACATGGCAAACCGGCTGGCTCCGCCGGCGAAACTTTGCCGTAGTCTCCGTGCCCGGCCCTGGGCAAAGTTCTCCGTCTCTTTTCAGTCTCTTTTTTTCTTTTCCCCTCTTTTCTTTTTCCCTCTTCTCTCCCTCTTTTTCTCTCTCTAACTCTCCCCCCTCTAACTCCTTGCCACTTCTTTTTTCACCCCTCTTCCCTCCCCATCACAGCAGGTCACACAGATTGCCAGATTCCTTCGACCAATCACATTACTATGACTGCGTAAAGAGGGTGAACCTATTGTGGTAACCAATACAGCTCTCCCAGAATTGGCATTTACATCCCAAATACAATTAAAACTGTAACTGTTCCACAAATAAAATTAAAACTGTAGCTGTAACAACACAAGCTATAGTCATTTGTAAAAAGTACCAGCCCAGTATGTGCCAACGGGCTACATAAGAAAAGACATCACGCAGTGTGATGTCTGTCTAATCTTCAGTCTCCTTTTGGCTTTGAAATAAATCTTCACCCAGAGCCCACAATGTCACCTTGTCTGTTAGCGGTTTGGAGCTGAGCAAATAGTGTGTTTATCAGAGCTTATTCTACAGATGGCCACCTTTGGGCTAATAACAGTTGTAACTCGGAGGCATTATTAAAACAGTAATCACTTATTCACCAAAACCAGTAGTAATATAGTAATTTAAAGTGCGGTTGTTATTTTAGATATCATAAAGTGAAAGTGTTGTTAATACGTGATGTGTTGTCATCTTTTTGCAGAGCTAGTAATGATGCTGGAGTGGTGGTCAGGCACAGAATGCACCCTATACACAGACCAGGCTACAGTAGACAAATTTGGCAAAGAGCATGTCATCATCATTCTAAACCACAACTTTGAGATCGATTTCCTGTGCGGGTGGACCATGTGTGAACGATTTGGCGTCCTAGGGGTTGGTAATGTAGCAAAATATCACAATTTTTTTTTTTCCCCAAAAATCTATTTAGGCACACATTGTTATGTCTTTGTATTAAAGCTTGCCAACATGTGTTTCTGCTCTTAACGACTTCATCCTGATTGTGAGAAACCTGTGCTTTGTTATTAAACATGTACCTCTACCCCTGCTCTAGAGTTCAAAAGTGCTAGCCAAACATGAGCTACTGAAGGTCCCTCTGATTGGCTGGACATGGTACTTCCTAGAAATCGTTTTCTGCAAAAGAAAGTGGGAGGAAGACCGAAACACTGTTTTCAAAGGACTTGACAGGCTCAGAGACTACCCAGAATATATGTGGGTAGGTACAAATCAGTCTGTTGTCTGCAAGTGTGAAGGATTAGCAGTTTTTGGTTTATTTTCATGCTTCAGCATATCCACTTGCACCAACCATAACATGCATACTGTATATTTTCAACTTAACACCCACTCTAGTTCAGTTTTTGTATAAAATGTCTGAAATATCCCCTCAGGATTGACTTCATGGCAACAGACATGTCATTGTTTTTAGTGAAGTGTAGGTATGGTTGTTTCCATTCAGGAGTTTAAATGTAGAATGTGATGTTTTGTCTAAAGGACAAGAAATGATCAGACCAACTTATTTGAAAGTAAAAAAATGTGAGCACATCTATAATTTGTGTCTTAATCCCCCATTGCAGTATAAAACTGCAGTGGTGGATTATAAACTGGGAGGTAACATAGGTCAAAGGACATCCAGAAAGTCACCCTGTAAGATATTTACAGAGAGGAGTTTGGGGAAACATGGGAGTTTGTTTAAAAACCTGAATGACTGTGTGACTGCACTTTTCTGATTTGTGCTGTTACCTTGGTGAATACTATACTGCTAATAGGAACACTGACGAGACCTACAGAAATAAGTTCCAACTTGTGCACAACTGGAATTATTCTGTAATCATTTGTTAGCTTTTTTTTTACGTTTCAAAGGTTTAAAAAAATACTCTAACCTTCAAAAATACATGGAAATCCAGATGATGCCCTTTGAACCACTTTTTCATCCCTAGTTTGTTCTTGGCAGCAGTTGCTAAATTGCTTTCTGAGTGCACCAGCTGTGCTTAAAATCTCTCAACAAGAGGGTTTGTGTGTTTCCCCAACACCCTCACCCCATAAAATCTCATTACTTAGACTTTCCACTGTTGCCTAAACTGTGTGAGAAGTTTTTCACAGTAGTTCTTGCTTCACAGTCAAGTCATCTTACCTGGTGACAGCAGGCCTTGCTGTTTGTTATAGATCTTTCCTGAAAGTGTGAAGCACATTAACCTAAGAATTTTGCAATGATTCACTCAACCAGTTCACCAGATGAGATTAGCTGGATTAGCAGTTGATCTAATTACCTGAAGTCAAGTACAGTGCCTTGCGAAAGTATTCGGCCCCCTTGAACTTTGCGACCTTTTGCCACATTTCAGGCTTCAAACATAAAGATATAAAACTGTAATTTTTGTGAAGAATCAACAACAAGTGGGACACAATCATGAAGTGGAACGAAATTTATTGGATATTTCAAACTTTTTTAACAAATAAAAAACTGAAAAATTGGGCGTGCAAAATTATTCAGCCCCCTTAAGTTAATACTTTGTAGCGCCACCTTTTGCTGCGATTACAGCTGTAAGTCACTTGGGGTATGTCTCTATCAGTTTTGCACATCAAGAGACTGAAATTTTTGCCCATTCCGCCTTGCAAAACAGCTCGAGCTCAGTGAGGTTGGATAGAGAGCGTTTGTGAACAGCAGTTTTCAGTTCTTCCCACAGATTCTCGATTGGATTCAGGTCTGGACTTTGACTTGGCCATTCTAACACCTGGATATGTGTATTTGTGAACCATTCCATTGTAGATTTTGCTTTATGTTTTGGATCAGTGTCTTGTTGGAAGACAAATCTCCGTCCCAGTATCAGGTCTTTTGCAGACTCCATCAGGTTTCCTTCCAGAATGGTCCTGCATTTGGCTCCATCCATCTTCCCATCAATTATAACCATCTTCCCTGTCCCTGCTGAAGAAAAGCAGGCCCAAACCATGATGATGCCACCACCATGTTTGACAGTGGGGATGGTGTGTTCAGGGTGATGAGCTGTGTTGCTTTTACGCCAAACATAACGTTTTGCATTGTTGCCAAAAAGTTCGATTTTGGTTTCATCTGACCAGAGCACCTTCTTCCACATGTTTGGTGTGTCTCCCAGGTGGCTTGTGGCAAACTTTAAACGACACTTTTTATGGATATCTTTAAGAAATGGCTTTCTTCTTGCCACTCTTCCATAAAGGCCAGATTTGTGCAGTATACGACTGATTGTTGTCCTATGGACAGAGTCTCCCACCTCAGCTGTAGATCTCTGCAGTTCATCCAGAGTGATCATGGGCCTCTTGGCTGCATCTCTGATCAGTCTTCTCCTTGTATGAGCTGAAAGTTTAGAGGGACGGCCAGGTCTTGGTAGATTTGCAGTGGTCTGATACTCCTTCCATTTCAATATTATCGCTTGCACAGTGCTCCTTGGGATGTTTAAAGCTTGGGAAATCTTTTTGTATCCAAATCCGGCTTTAAACTTCTCCACAACAGTATCTCGGACCTGCCTGGTGTGTTCCTTGTTCTTCATGATGCTCTCTGCGCTTTAAACGGACCTCTGAGACTATCACAGTGCAGGTGCATTTATACGGAGACTTGATTACACACAGGTGGATTCTATTTATCATCATTAGTCATTTAGGTCAACATTGGATCATTCAGAGATCCTCACTGAACTTCTGGAGAGAGTTTGCTGCACTGAAAGTAAAGGGGCTGAATAATTTTGCACGCCCAATTATTCAGTTTTTTATTTCAATGCAAATGACATAGTTTTTTTGTGTTCAAATAAACAAACTAAACTGTATTTGCTTGGGCTCTTGTCTACCTACCTACCTGCTCAGGGCTCCAGACTGCGAGTGATCAGTCACATTTTGTGACCAAATTTATTTAAGTTGTAAATGACATTTTTCCGAGGTCTCACTGGGTGATGCGGCATAATAAACAGGTTGTACACGAACGACCGCTCTCACTGTAGAAACTGTGGCCAGACGTAACAATCTCTGCGATACTGTCATCACATTTATCTGCAGTTCTGTCACTTGCCCATCTCACTAAGCAAAGACTCAATTGAGTGTGTTGATTCACACTGACACCAAGACACACATCATCCCTGGACCCCTTTTTTACACTTCGTCTATTTTTTCCTTTGGTGCATTCGAAATGTAATCGCCACAGACAGCTGCTTTAATCAGGCAGATCACCTGTTAGCCTATTTATGTGCTGGAAATATCTCTTCTGATTGCTCAGGCTCCTGGTGTCACAGTTGTCCTCCTGCTGATAGACAGCTGTTCTGACAAGAGGCTGCATGGAGGTCAGAGTCATTGTGGATTGAACGGATCAAACGCTTTAGTTGCTCAAATGTGCTGCTCACATCTAATGAAGTCCAGTTTGAAGTTAATAGTGGCTGAAACCCACCATCAAGTCCTCTAAGTTGTAGGCTACTTGTAACTTTATCCCAAAAATGAGCTGGCACTTAGCCAGGTGAGTGAGAGAGCTGCACTGTGCATGACGTCCAACACAGACATTGCCAAAGATTCTTTTTCAGAAGGAAAATGGGCTACAAATAAGTCATGTACACAAATGGCAAAGCGTGCACGCAATTCATTGGTTTATACTTCAGCTGAAATATAATAGCCTAATCATCATCATCAGTGTCATCATGATAAGCATGCTGACTGCTAGGCTATGACCATTGGATGATAAGGTTATTTAAATGATTAACAAAAATACATATTCCTTAGCATTATGTTGTAAAACAGAGGTGGAGCACCAAGTCTGGCACTGGTGTCACCATCAGAGATTTGGTGGCACTATTGCCACTAGTATGAAATGTTAGTCTGGAGCCATTCCGCTGTATTACCACTGGGATAAGATGGTGTTACTTTGTGGTTAACATGATCAAACAAGCAGAAGTAGGGCAGTGAATGGCTTTTAAAGTGTGTGTATTTACAGAGGTCTTCTCCCTCCACAGTTTCTTCTATATTGTGAGGGCACCCGCTTCACAGAGAAGAAACATGAAATCAGTATGCAGGTTGCAGAGAGCAAAGGCCTGCCTCAGCTCAAATACCACCTATTACCCCGAACCAAAGGCTTCACCACCACACTGCAGTGTCTTAAAGGCATAGGTGATGTATATAAACACATACAAAGTTCATTTTGCTCAGACTGTTGTTGTTGTTCATAACTTTTGCCTGTTTTACAGTAACTGCTGTGTATGATGTGACTCTCAACTTCAAAGACAACCAAACTCCCACTCTCCTGGGCATTGTCAACGGCAAGAAATACAAAGCCGACATGAGTGTAAGGTGAGTACTGCTGATATCCTCCATTTACATCTGAATCAGCTGTTATTGTAATAATGATGCATTACTCTTCCAAATGCACTGAGTTTCTTCAAGTGGAAGATAATGAATGTGGTCTTCTTTCAACTGCATTTTTGTACTCGAACAATAAGAGGCAGTGAGGGTACCCAAAATGCTGGCGAGTTTCCCAGTGTGTTTATGGTTACAGAGCAATAACTGAGGGCAAGAGCACTTCTCCTGAGTAAGTAGCTGGTCACGAGATGGAAACACACTGGGATGGCATGTCTTTTTGTTTGGTCACCATAACTGAATTAGAGGAATATTCAGTTCAGGGATTTTTGTTCTTAATATCCTTATGAACACTAGAGGTATTTTGCTTTAGTTTTCTGGTAATGCTAATGAATTTGTGATATTACTCAAAACTAGAAAATAAAAACAATAATACTCAGCCATGTTTTGTGGAAACATGGCTGAGGGCGTCCTCTGGTGTTGAGAAACTGCTACAACAGGCCACCTGTGATGCAGTGTGTCATTATGGAACATTTTCTGTTGCACTCTTTGAGAAGTCCAGAGGAAGCTTCACTGTGCGTGCATGTGTATGAGGGAGCTTGATGAGATTGATCCTAAAATGTATCTTGCATCTTGTATTATGATTTTAGACTCAGTCATTAGCACTGAATGTCCTCATTTACTTCATCTGAAGAATCCTTTGTTTACCAAGAATGTTTAAATTGGGATGTGCTTGTTGTGCTTCTGAATAATGTGTATATTGAATTGTATTTATAACTTAAATGATAGTTATGGTGTCTAGTCATTGTTTGGATATTCTTTTCGACTTTTTTGTTTGTTTTTTGTTTTGTTTTGGTGTGCTGAAATATGTCATTCCCTTAGAAGGTGGGAGCACACATTCTACTCCACCTGCAACCTGTTATTCTTATTGAGATTATCTATGAAAATTCGAACATGTTACATAGATGTAACATGAGTGGGAGAAATAATGAAAAAGAGAAAAGAACTTGGCAGGCAAGTGGTAAATTAGTGTGATGTTTCATGAGTAAGAATTATGTCATAACCCAGTTCATTGCATTTTAACTTCACCTGAAGTTCACACCCTTCTCACAAAGAGCTCTCACTTCAGCTCCCCTTGCATCATTTTACTTACCCGCTTCAGTATATTCACCATCTCATCTAAATTTTGTGTGCTGCCCTTTGGATTTTCTCAAATGTTCATTATGCACTCATTTCTGAGTTTGAAGACAAATTGTAAATGGCATTAAAACCAAATGAGTAATCGATTTCATGTCTCCGTTTATGCTTTACTATCCAGGCGGTTTTCTGTGGAGGATATACCAGAGGATGAGCAGGAGTGTGCCAACTGGCTGCACAAGCTTTACCAGGAGAAGGTAAAACTGAGGAAAGCTGACATTAAAACCACAGTCCATGATCAAAAGTTAAATCGGACCATCACAGAAATCAATATAAACACAAGGTTGGAACCCCTGTCATTGTTGGAATCTTTGTGTACACAAGCCAGAGCTGGACAAATTAAACACTACCAGTGAAAAGTTTGGACACACTTCCCCATTGAATTGAATGGCAAGTGTGTCTCAAATTTTGAACATGTTGTCTAGTGCTATAATATGTTCGTTTGTTTTTTCTCCTTTGTACTAGACCAACTGGTTTGTGAATAATGCATAAACACAAAAACAAAGTTCCCTCATACTTAAATATGGTGCATAATTTGTGCTTTGATAAACAAGTCAGTGCTCTAATTTCTGACCAAATTACATCAAATTTGTAGACACTTAAGGTGTTTGGACTTGCATGCCATATATTTAAGTCTATTTTTGTAACGTATGCATGCTGACTGGACATATATTGCATTCTTTTTAACATGAAATGTATTTGTGAGAACATTTTCAGGTGTGATGCATCACTTACAGCATTTATTATTGTCTGTAAGGTATGAAGGAGGTTATTTTGTAAGATCAAATGAAGAGATGCAATACAGGATCAATTTATACTGTGCCAATCAATTCTCCATGCTCCTCACAGGATGCCTTACAGGAACTCTACAACAAAGAAGGCAAGTTCCCTGGGCCAACAATAATCTCACATCGCCGTCCATGGACACTGCTGAACTTCTTTTTTTGGGCCACACTGCTGCTTTCACCCCTCATCAACTTTGCTTGTGGAGTGGCTGTCAGTGGCTCCCCTCTCCTCATAATTGCTTTTATAATCTTCCTCATCATAGGTGGGTAAACTCTGCACCAGTGACTAAAATAGAAAGCCTTATGTAGGGATTGACTGGGAGACCGTGGCTTTGTGACTTTACCTGGAGGCAATAAATGAAATTCATAGACATTTGGATTATTTTCTTCATTGACTTAGTTTTTTCTTTGCTCTCTCCCCAGCCTCCGTAGCTATCCGCCGCCTCATAGGGGTCACTGAGGTGAAGACAACGGGCTCCAGTTATGGCAACCAGGAGGCCAAAAAACAAAACTAAAGTTTGTCACATCACGACTCCAGTATATAACCGTTTCTGTGCAGTCACCCTGCTGTGTCTCACCCCCACCCTACTTCATTCTTCTCCTACTTTTGAGTCAGTTGTAGGCTGGGGAGGAGACCTAGCTTTGAACACATAATAGACACTAGTGCTAGAAATACTAAGGGTATTAGTGAAAGAGAGCATGGAAGGGCTGGGTGTCCAAGCTCTCTGAAGTAATGCAAAACATGAGGGGAGATGCTGTACTGTATTTATCTGTATCTTTGTTAATCTAGCTAGTCCCATCCATCCCCCATTAAATCCCAGTAGCACCTAAGGTTAAGCTCCTAACTTGTCGAAGGTCACATGATCAACCAGTCAGCCCATTTCCTGCTCTGCATTTGCCTACTTTGGCTTCCTGTCAGTCATTGGCCAATCAGGGAGTGGTGATATGCTCATTCCTCCTGCCCACAGAATACAAACCATCTCTGAATTTTTTTTTTATCATAGCATCCATCCAGGGACAATGTGATAACAGCAATCTGTTACATGCCAGACATCTCCCTCCCTTTTTTTTTTTCACCAAGTGGGGCTTGTGATGGGAACTGGTGCCTTGAGACCCAGTCTGGTTTTCTTAATCTTAGTCATTTCACTTGCATCACAAATGTTTAGCATCTAACCTCTAAGTATTTATCAGTGCAGCTAGCTTTTGTTTTTATGTGGTTGTGGTTGGCAATTTCCACTACAATAAAAAATATGATGGTATATTATTCTGTAAATTTGTGTTGCTGATGGTGCACAGGTTGTTGTAAAGGTATAGTTGAAAAACTGTTTTGAATGTAAATAATGGTGAAAGCCACCCTCATTGGCGGCGTTAGATTATCTAAGAAATTGGCACATTGCTTTTGAGTTTTTCAAATATCATGTTATAGAGTTTGAGCACAACCAGTGTGATTCAGATGATTCCCATTGTGTTTTGGGTTAGCAGCAGACGTCTCAGGCAGAAATCTCAAAATACAAATCCCACATCATCTCCAGATACTGTATCAGCAGGGTAAATTAATCTTGTGATTTTAGTGAACTGACCTGTTAACTCTGCTTTTGAGAGGCTGGTGTCTGTTAAAGTACAACAAGGGCTCTGAATGTGAAAACTGTCCTTTTCAAAGATGCCTACCACTTGTTATAGGCCTCACCACCAACACCCATGGACTCATTGTGACACATTTCAGTTCTCTTTTCCAGTAGCTTTTTACACAAATAGGATATATATATATGTTATTTATCACTTTTAAAACATAATTGGACCATCTCTGGCGCCATATTTTGTTTTTGTTTTGTTTTTTATTCAGTCAGCAATCTCAGTCTGAACACTGAAGCAGTTAAAAATGCTTTTAAATAGCAGAAAAAGGCAACCAACTTTCTTCATGTAGCCTCACAGCTGTTGGCATATTATTTTGCTTTTCCAATATAGACAGTAGTAGTCATGGTTTAACCTTTGCCTTAAATCAAGCTTGCTCAGGCAAGGGAGTGCTTATTCGCCACCCCTTTAAAACAGCACCCACCTCTTACCTTCTGTGTTATGTTTGAATACTCACCCACTCTTCCTCTATTACGGTAATGCATGGTGGAGTAGTGTGCATTCATTTGGTTCAATCATCCACATGAATGTACAATTGAAAGCCATTTTTAGAATTTAAAGTGGAAAGCTAAGATGATGTCAGTGTGTTAAAGGTGTCTTTGTATAGTTTGTTGGTGAACTTGCCATTTTTGCATTTTCAAATTCGTTGTCCCAGACATGATTGTTTCTCATTGTGTCTCAAATGAAATGTCAGTTGCTGCAGTACAGGAGTGGATCTCCTCCAGTGTGACGAGCCGAAATCCCTCACCCCCAAATACAAATGGGATGTTCTTTCCTCCTTTCTCCTCACCTCTGGCATCCCACGCCACATGTAGTATTGTTTATAGATTTGGCTTTACTGGTTGTTTTGGGATTATCACTCAGTAACAATATGTTGTATACTTTTTGTTTATGTAAAGTTTTCTCATCCCAGACAGATGTCATGCAAGCCTTAATAGACAGTGCTGCTTAATTTTTGTATGAAAACATACAAGTTTACTGAGCCCCTGTTGTAGTGAAGGATTGAAAATTGAAAAATATCCTCCAGTACAGCGAGCAAGTTTCTGGGATTAGAGAATGAGAATGCAAATTAGAAAAAGTTGGCTCTTGTGCAAGAGAAATCAGTCCACCTTATTTTTGTTTTTTATTTTACACAAAGTTACTTTAAGTTGCGTTACTTCAGCTATGTGCTTTGGGTTTTTAGAATGTTTTTCCTCTAATTCCAACATGCGGTCCAGTCATAACTGTCACTCAATTTTTCAAAGCAGAATGGATGCTGAGATGTTCAAACAAGTGTTAGGAAAACCTTTTTCACTGGATGTTTTTTATTCAGTAAAGAATTCAGTTCACTTGTGGGTGTTTTGTTTTTAATAAATTGTCAACTAGATTCAGATAACATCACACATTGACACCACTTTTTTAAATTGTTCATCACTTATTCACAATTTTCATTTCAATTATAGTAGATATAGCTACATGTAGAGACTGTAAAACTGAAAATATGTATGTAAAGTAAATGATGAATGTCAAATCTGCTTTTAGAAGTTGTAGAGATGTATTCAGTTCTTCTTTTGTAGTAGACCTTTTGAATTACATTAAACAAGTTTCCATCAGGTGCCCAAGGGACATTTTGGGTTTACTATATAGTCACAAGAATGCGACAGGGTGTTGACTATAAATATGTGCATAATGTAAATGACAACAGTGTCATTCAGCGTTAGAAATGGCAAATATGCTCTTCTGTTCTTTTGCAATAGCTTGTTTGAATGATGGCGCCATGGATTCAGGCTACAACAGACTGTACCACTGATGAAAGAGCAGCAACAGAAGATGAGTTAAAATGAGCTAGCCTCCTGGGTGCTAAGGTTATTAAACTCAACAATGTCTTACCTATGAGGCTTGGATCTGTAAATACCTTCAGCAATGTTTCTCTTCTAATTAAAGCCAGGCGGAGGGCTGCAGTCAGAGACTATGCTTAGGAAGCATTTTTCAAACTTTTGCAATTAATCATTGTGTCTTACTGTAGTCAGTTACTTTTTGCATGATGTGCAATATTGCACAGTCACTGAATCCAGTTAATTCTGACTCAGGGACTACTACAGACTGGCAGTGCAAAAGGTCAGCTGTGGCATTACCTCTGAATTTGAATCTGAATAAAAAAGGCTTTCTGGGGAAGCTGAAAATGTGATTCTTGTTTTTGTTAACACTAAATATTTAAGTATTATGGCCTTAAGCCAAAAAGGGACTTGTATCCTCCTGATACCAAGACATTGTCCATAGGTGGAGCATCTTGACTCTTCCTTATCTGCTAAGTCAGCCACATAGACTCAAACTAACAGATTAGCATTTACTACTCAGTTCTTCAAATTAATATCCAGATCAGAGAGAGCTCAACCAAAAAAGTCCTATTTTTAAATAAGTTTTGGGCCCATGCAGGGATGCCACGTTTGAAGGCCATGATATGCAATCCCCTGGACATAGGAACTTAGCCTAACCTCTCACACTAAGGTGGCATACTTGAAACCTTTCAAAGCTTCAAACACTGCTTGGGGTTTTTAGGTGGAGATATTCACTCAGTCATTAACTACCCTGAACCTGTGAACAGAGTCCCCCACAGACCACCACCTTTTATTTTATTAATTCAAGACTATAACCGTGATCTTTCCAAAATTTATAACAATCTGCAGTTATAGGCAACTACCTCCTTAAACCTTCAGATGTTGCTTTAGCAGCCAATATACTTTGGGTTTGAGGAAGTGTTTAATTTAGTATGAAATAACCTATAAAAGCCATTACATTGGACACGTAAGACCATGGTTTCAGTGCACAGTATTTAGCTGGCGTTAGCATCTTAGGATCAGACACCTAATTTATAATATCTAAGTTGGAATAAATACATAGTCACCTAATTTAAATAGAGAATTTTTGATGCAACTCTAAAATTGAGTGAGTTTGGTTTAAATAGTTATCACTACTTTATTCTTGATAGGTTAATCATGTATTTTACTTTGTGCAATAACCATCATATGCACCTTTAAATATCCTTATAACTTCTAACACTTTACTATAGTTGACTTTAATAAAGATAATAGAAAGGGAGAGAGAGAGCAGCAAGGAATAATTCAACTAACTTGGTGAACATTTTACTGATAGTTCAGTATCAACATAACTGTGACTTGCCAAACACGTACATAATGGGAAATGTAATCCAGTCCCAATCACATTTGTTTCACCTATTTGCAGTTGCAAATTAGCTGTATATAAACCTAATTTCTAAGAGACAGGGTTGCACAAATACATAATTAACACACATATACAGTTGTGATGACCTTATCACCTCTTTTGGTCAGCGTAGTCAAAAACCAGGCCAAGGTGCTTTCTGTGGAAGCATTGTACAAAATACACTGTAAAGCACAACTCTGTGAAAAAAGGCTTATGTTTCATGATCACATAGTTATTAAAAGCCACACATTTTTGTACATTATATTTTGAGCGTCTTGTTTTGGACATGTTAATTTATGTTAAATGAGATGCAATTGATAAAATAAAGCACAAGAGGGAATAGTTTTGGTCTGCTTTTCATACTGTGTAATATTCCCTCTAAATTGCTTTCTTGAGTTCCATAACTCACCACTGTACTGTACAACATTGAATGGTTATGTATAAATGTCACATTGTCTAATGAATAACACTACTGGTATATGTATCTGCTTAGTTCTCCAGATTCACAGTATTCACTATTCATTAATTTAGTCTAAAAACCTAACCTTTACAACACATTAAATTTTTAATTCTTTTTCTTATTTGTGTTAATTTGAAACCATATATGAGGGGATTGATAATTGGGGGGAAAAGTAGAAATTCTATTGCCATATAATTCTGGACACTTTGTGATAACTGTACTGAGCCAATTCGCATGTACAAGAAATCAAATAGCAAAGATACAGCAAAAACTGTTAAAGTGAACAAATGTGGAACACATGTCTGCAGAAACTGATGCATGTTCTCTGTAGATGTTAGGCATGATTTGATTATATGTATGTAAGTCCAAACAACAAAAAAAACATGGGCAACATAAAATGTATAATTAAAAGCTGGAATAATAATTGTTACTATGGAAGTAGAACAAGCTAATTTAGAAATTAACCAATTAACACAATAGATCTTTGGTATTTGTGAACCACATAACCTTGTTGCTGTTGTTACTGTGCTCATGAACACCAGATACAAAGGCGCAAGCCAAGCAAAACACACAAATACACAAACTCTTTGCTTAGTCATTACAGAGTGGTACACCAGAGGTCGACATATAGCTACATATCTGTCATAGGCCATTAGAGCCAGAAAAGAGAAATCAGCACAAGCTGAAGAGAGTAACACAAAACCCTGCAGGAGACATCCAGCATAAGAGATGACATGAGTGGAAGACAAAAGATCCTTCAAGAATTTGGGATAAAATCCAGTTGTCCCATAAAGTCCATTAATACACAGGTTACAGATGAAGATGTACATGGGTTCATGAAGGATTTTATCTAGAATGATTGTTGTAATAATAATCCCATTTACCAACCAAATCACAAGGTAACACAATAACGTGAGAGTAAAGAGAGTGACTCTGTAGTTTGTTGTGCCATTTAACCCTGACAGAGTAAGCATAGTGATATCGGAAACATTATCCATCATAAATTGTTGCATGTCATTTTAAGACTTCATATTAGGAATTGCATTTGCAATGCATAGTGTGTTGGAGAAAAAAAGGCCATCCTATGTGACTACCCATCACTTGTATTTTATTTAACTGCTTCTTTATATTTTCTCATGGCAGAAATATTCAGTGGCACTGGTAGCATGGGACTTCAGACTTCCAATCAGCAGCGTTGGGAAGGTTACTTTCAAAACGTAATAGGTTACAGATTACACTATTTCCCATTCAGCCATTCACACGCTGGTGATATTTACATTGATGAACAGCAAGTCTATGTTGCTCTTTTCACTTGTGTTTTTTAACTTGTATATATTTTCTATTTATTTTGTTTTTATGTTGTGTGCATCGGGGGCCATTGGGCTGGAGTCAAATTCCTTGTATTTTTGAGATACTTGGCAAAGTTTATGCTTATGCTTACATCAGCAGGAGCAATGAAGTAGTGCTGTTCCAAAAAGAATGAATCGGTATATTAATAATAATCAGCTTTATTGGCCAAGTATGTTAGACACAAGGAATTTGTCTCCGGTACAGAATCGGTACCATACACTTTGAATTAGCATCTTCAATACGAATTGAATTTATGTTATATATAATATAAATTTATTTAAACATGCGAATCATGGTGGTGTATACTAACAACAAGAAACCGTTATATGTTGTGCGCAAGTCCCAGTCAGTTCAAGGACACTGACATGTGGACTGGGACTCAAACCACCAGCCCTCCGGTTAAGAGATGACCTGCTCTACCTCCTAAGCAACAGCCACCCCTACCAATAAACTGAACTGAATTGGTATAATGCCAAATCACAACAATACAGAAGCCACAGAGCCTCAGACATACAAAGACATTTAATTAAATGTCTCAAGGAGCGATTAAGGGAGAGATTTTAAACATGACAACATCCTGACAATGTTTTTTCTAATTTCTGGTAACTTCAGGCCATATACGAGAGGGTTCAAAAGTGGAGGAATCATTACAAACTCCAATGATACGACTACAGCAAAAACTGGGCTTAGTTTTTCAAGATTAACAGCGTTGGGAAGGTTACTTTCAAAATGTAATAGGTTACAGATTATACTATTTTCCATTCATCCATTCACACACTGGTGATATTTACATTGATGAACAGCTAGTCTATGTTGCTCTTTTCACTTGTGTTTTATATTTTCTATTTATTTTGTTTTTATGTTGTGCGCATTGGGGGCCATTGGGCTAGAGTCAAATTCCTTGTATTTTTGAGATACTTGGCAAAGTTTATGCTTATGCTTACATCAGCAGGAGCAATGAAGTAGTGCTGTTCCAAAAAGAATGAATCGGTATATTAATAATAATCAGCTTTATTGGCCAAGTATGTTAGACACAAGGAATTTGTCTCCGGTACAGAATCGGTACCATACACTTTGAATTAGCATCTTCAATACGAATTGAATTTATGTTATATATAATATAAATTTATTTAAACATGCGAATCATGGTGGTGTATACTAACAACAAGAAACCGTTATATGTTGTGCGCAAGTCCCAGTCAGTTCAAGGACACTGACATGTGGACTGGGACTCAAACCACCAGCCCTCCGGTTAAGAGATGACCTGCTCTACCTCCTAAGCAACAGCCACCCCTACCAATAAACTGAACTGAATTGGTATAATGCCAAATCACAACAATACAGAAGCCACAGAGCCTCAGACATACAAAGACATTTAATTAAATGTCTCAAGGAGCGATTAAGGGAGAGATTTTAAACATGACAACATCCTGACAATGTTTTTTCTAATTTCTGGTAACTTCAGGCCATATACGAGAGGGTTCAAAAGTGGAGGAATCATTACAAACTCCAATGATACGACTACAGCAAAAACTGGGCTTAGTTTTTCAAGATTAACACGACTTAAA